ATATATATATATATATATATATATATATATATATATATATATATATATATATATATATATATATATTGGCTATGGATTGACATTGTTGCAGCTAGGAAGTTTAATATCGAGAAAAATAAACTGGTTGCCCTCCGCAAACTCCGAGAAGTGTTGTGTGTAAAATGAGTGAACGAAAACGGTAAAGATAAGCAACACTCCTTAAATCCTTAACAAATGAACGAACGGCTTACCTTCTAGTGTCCTTATGTCCTTTGTACTATCTTTTTAAACATTTGAAAACTTTCCACCCCTTTATATACATTATAGCTGTCTACCGGAAGTTCAAAGGGTGCTGAAAAGAGTTAATGACTACTAATTTACCATCATTTGTATTTTTAAAATAAGTAAACTCTTAAGTCATATTATCATGAATGTCCTATTGTACATATATAATAATCGACTATTCTGAATTCTTTTTTTTTGTTGTTGTTTCATATTTGAGGGAGGATATATATATATTGCTTTTTTTCGTAATAGGTACAGGAGGTAATGTAACAAAATATGAACTAATAGGGGATCTGCACTACCTTCGTCAGTGCTGATTACGGTAGATTACATCAATAAATTGGTGGTATTAATATCGCACTATTTGTGGTCTTTCGACTCAGTGTCTTTTATTTTCCACATCGTAAATAATGATAAAAAACAATAATAACGAAAGACCGCGAGGAGACCTCCAAGAAACCTCAACGTTTATAGCTGAGGCCACCGCAGTTGTTAATATATTGCAAACTTCTTTAGTTTTGAACAAAAACCGATTTCCAAAAGCATTTAAGCAAGACAATTAACGAAAATAGAGCAATATGACGTTTCGATGACTTCATGTCATCACTGCCAAGCAAAGTAGCAAAGATGACATAAAAGCATTCTATGATCGGAAAACGTTTCAGGGACCAGCATGGCTTAACAACCGATGACTTAATTAAGAACTTTAAAGTCATAAAGAAATGTTGTGGCAAACACGAATGTTTAATCTTTGAAATGCTTTGGTAAGAATAAATGACCGAAACTGAACATGCAAGCGGATTCGATTCGCGCGAAACTTTTCACCTAATGCTTTCATGTCACCTATGCTAATTATTTGTTTTCTCGCATCCTAATTTCTATAAATATGCCTTGCCGTTATTTTTAATTCATTTGTTCGAAAATGATGACATGAAGTTGTCAAAACGTCGTGTTGTGATATTTTCGTTAATTTTATTGCTTAAATGTTAATGCATTGTAAATTTATGGATGAGCCGAAACAACCGATAACGTTTTTTTTTTTTTTTCGCATCTCTTTATAAGCTTAATTTTTAACTTGCTTGAGATTCCTTTGTTCTGTAAGACCAAAATATCGGTTTTTGCATGCAGATTTTGAAATTGAATAAATAAAGTTCTATTAAATCCTCCCCCTTAATCTTGAATTAGTAATTTTGGAAGTCCTGGAGGAAGTGATCGGAAGTCTCATGAATGAAAAAAATTAAAAGAGAGAGGATGACTGTTTCTATCACTAAAGTTTATTTGAACTGAATGCAACGCGCAGGCGTTTTTTCCTTCACAGCTTTGCGTCAGTGAGCGCACTATTACAATACAAATTACAAGTCCAGAGAAAACAACAGTTAACGTAGTTACACACCAACACTTTTTTGTATTTTATTAACTTTTATTGATTTGAATAGTTGTATACAATTTACAACAAATCAAACAAACAAGAATTCGCATGGTCGCATAGAGGATGAAATCTATTGTTTTATATGTGTAAGAAAAAATGAAAAAAGACAAGAAAAAATGGAAAGCCGCCATTTCCTTTCGAATGCTACCTACTTTTGAGAAAGGTATTTAGAGAAACCTGGCCCTTGGAACTAGGGAAAAATACAATCGGTAAATACTAGGGACAATAATTATCTGAAGAGCCGCCAGATTAACAGCCGCAATAAATTTAAAAATGTCCTATTGTCGGGGCTATCTTTAAAACGGGGAACTGGGAATCGGAGAATGAAAATGGGGAAGGGGGAACGGGGAACGGGGAATCTTTAAAATGGGGAATCTTTAAAAGCGGGAATCTTTAAAATGGGGAATCTTTAAAAGCGGGAATCTTTAAAAGCGGGAATCTTTAAAACGGGGAATCTTTAAAAGCGGGAATCTTTGAAATGAGAAATCTCTAAAAGCGGGAATCATTAAAATGGAGAATATTTAATAGCGTTAATCTTTACTGAAAAGTGAGCGAGAATCTCTCAGTTTCCACCGGAAGCTATTTATTCTGTCACATGTATCAACTTAACAGGTACAGAGACAATTGTGGAATTAATTCATTGTAATTATATTGCACGCTATTAAAGCACATCGGTTTAGCGGGATAGTGGAACGGTTAAAATCTCGATTCTCACTCTTTGAGATCCGCTAGACCGACCAAAGAATTGAACCGCCTGGATTTATCATAACTCTGGACTGTCACGTTTTTGAATTGAGTTTCGCAGCGATGGATATTTGTCCTAGCCTTATCATGTGCTAATGGAAGGACTTACGACTTAA